GCCGGCCAGTGTCCTACCACTGGTAAGCAATTTCCATTTCAATATTTGTTCTTCTTGTAAAGTAAGAGTCTTCTTCATATCTATAGACTTTAAGCTAAAATTTCTCTCTAACCTAAATTTGTTTTTCCTATTTGGCACTCATTTTTGTCTCTGATTCCTGTGGTACTTTAAAGACTCTAGTGTAATTTATTTCCCTTGGGTGGTGGTGGCAGACTGGGTGCTGAGATGAGCATGGTCCTGGTGGAAGTTTCATTAACTTACCTCTTTTTCTTCTCCACATTCTATAGCAGAGGGCATATCAAACAATGTACCTTTTATGAGCATAAATTCTTGTTTTTGAAATTTTTATTGTAGTATTTTTAGATTTCAAATGTTAGACAAAATATAAACAAAAAATAATGCCTTTTGGTTACCAAATTTATTTATGTATGTTCCCTCCTCAATTTGAGGAAATATTTTCCTATGATTCTAGTACTTGGCTCAACTTATTTTTCTACTCTGAAACAGTATGTTACAGGAGATTTAGAAAGAGTAATATCACTGCAGGAGGCAGAGGTTATTTGTTTTCTCATTATCCACAGCACACAAATTAGAGTTCAGAAAATATGCTTGCTTAAAGATCAACATCACCCCCATTTAGTACTGTAGTGAGTGCTGTATAAACTGTAAGGCATCACACACGTGGATGTTAGCATCATTAAAGATGCATTTTTTTAGGGAAAAATAATCCTTTCATTTGATTAGAACCAAGTCAAAGAAACATGAGAAAAAAATTTTGTCATTGGATGATACATAAATCTAGGTCAATATCAGTTCCATAAGTGAACAGAAGAAAACAAGACGAAAGGTTGCAGAACTGCACCCACCCAATAGTGTGGACACACACAGGTGATACCACGTTACACAGCCATTTGAATGTTAGGAAATTCCGTATGTATGTCGGCATGTTTAAAGAAAGTGATCATGGCTGTCGCAGCTATCCGAAGGCTGTTAGTGAAGAGAAGTAATCTGAGTGGCAGATTCTGGAGAACCCGATTTTTTGGTAGGCTCACATTATTTTTCTTTTTTTACTTTCAGGTGCCTTTATAAGGCGCTCCCTATACCTACACCCAGGGTATCTGTTTGACTGTTTCAAGTTATTTCTAATTATATCTACATATTGTGATTTATTTCTCTATAGCTGCCTGTTTTTATTTATTTTTATTGAGTGATCTTTCAGCTCCCTAATTCTCAAATTGTGGCACATGTGCCCCCATAGTGGTGTACTGGGGGTATATGAAGCTACAAGATAAACCTGAAGCATCTTTCCAGAGAGTTTCTTTTGAAAGTCTAGAAAGCCATTACAGAGCCTGGTTATGAGTGTTATGGGTCTGTTGTCAACTTCCTAGGTTAGAATCTTGACTCTGCCACTTGCCCTTTGGCAAGGTACTTTAACCTATCTGTTCCTAAGTATTTTAACCTGAAATTAGGAATAATACTAATGCCTACTTTATAGTTGGTTGAGAGAAATAAATGGGCATTCAGAACAGGGCCTAGCACACAGAACATTTTATGCAGATATTAGTTATTATATATCTTAATATTAGATTATTCATTTCCCCTCTTGAGCAGATATAAGCAAGGATGGAAAGACAAATGCTGGGAGTGGATTTAGATAGAAACAAGGGATCACCTCAATGAAAAGGTGACTTCTGAGTAAAGACCTTAAGGGAGTGAGGGAGTTAATTCTGGATTCTGGGAGAAGAGAATTTCAGATGGAGGGAACAGCAAGTACAAAGGCCTTAAGGTGTACCTTCTACGTTTAAGCAATAGTAAGAGGCCAGTAGGGCTGGAACAGAGTGAGTGAGGGGGTGAGTAAAAGGAAGTGAGATGGGGAGGGGCAGCAGATCAGGTAAGGCTTTGTAGCTTTCACTCTGAATGAAACAGGCAGCCATCATGTGCAGAGGAGTGATATGATCTGACTTAAGTTCTATAACCATATCTGTAGAGCTGAAAGAAGACCACAGGGAGGCAAGGGCAAAGCAGGTAGGCTACTGCAATAATCTGCTTGAGAGATGATGGTGGCTGGGCCCGGAGTGGTGACAACGGAGGTTGATAAAAAGAAAGAATTCTTGATATACTTGAAAGGTTAGAGGTGACAGGATCTACTGTCCAATTAGATGTGAAATGTGAAAGAAAAAAGTCAAGGGTGATTTTGAAGTTCCTGGCTTAATCATTAAATAAAAGTTAAGTTGCCATTAACTGTGATGGAAAGATTGATCACAGAAAGAGAAAGCTGGGGGGAATGTCAGAAGCTGTTTCAGACATAGTAAACTTTAGATGCCCAGTAAACATTCAAATGGAGATGTTAAGTAGGTAAATAAACTGGCTTGAAATTGAGGGAATAAGTCCAGGTTAGAGTGACAAATGTGGGAGTCATACAGTCATGGGTCACTTAATGGGGATCTGCTCTGAGAGACGGGTTGTTAGGTGATTTCATCATTCCATGAACATCATAGAGCGCACTTAAACAAACCTAGACAGTTAAGACTACTGTATATCTAGGTTATATGGTACTATATGGTATAGCCTATTGCTCCTAGGCTATAAACCTGTAGCGCATGTTACTGTACTGAATACTGTAGGCAACTGTAACATAATGGTATTTGTGAATCTAAACACAGAAGTTGCTCGATAAAAATAAGGTATGATAGATAAATTGTGTATGAATGCTGGGGAGGGGCTAGGGGAGGGCTGTGTAGGGAGGTACCATCAAGAGGAGGGAGCGAGGGAGGAGAGGGAAGGAAGAAAAGGGGAAAGGGAGAACAGAGATCAAAAGAGATAGAGATAAATCATGAAACTAGAATTAATAAAAGGGAGGGGTGGGGAGGGAGGGATGGAAGGAGAGAAAGAGAGAAACAGGACTGGAAAGAAAGACAAAAAGAAATGAAGAGAAATGAGTATGTGTGCATGAGTGTGTGAGTGTGTGTGCAGGGGTGGGTATGAGTGGGCTCCTGGGCTCCCCTCCTTTCTAGCCCTCTTCCCCTCTCTCTCCCTAACCAACTCTGGGTCCCAGCCACAGTATGGCTCAGGTGAACAACATGCTAAGCCTCCTAATTTATTTAAACCACCCAAAGCTAGCAGTAAATTCAACGTCTCAGGTCCAGCCTTTTCTTAGAACACAGCAACAAATTTTTTGCTTATAACCCATTCCTATGGGACCATGTATATGTGGCTCAGCCCTGACCAAAACGTCATTATGTGGCCTAAGACTATATTTTAAGTCATAAGGCTGAATGAACAAAATGTCTCACTGAGGAAAGGGTGCCTAGCTGTGGGTGCGAATGCTGCTGATAAAAATATCAAGGAAGATGAGAGCTGAAAGACCCCTGGGTTTAGCGACGATGCTGTCGATGATGACCTTGACAAGAGCAGTGTTGATGGACTGCAGCGAGAACATCCTGACTGGACTAGATTCAAGAAAGAATGGGAGAGAATGTGGGGATAGCAAGTTTAAGCAATTTTATTTCCACAGGTCAGTTAAATATAAATATCTTATGCCTAATATAAAATTTCCCTTATAAAATTATCTTTCAAAAAATTTACTCTTCATTTAACAATCAGCAACTCTCCAAACATAGGAAATCTGCTATTTTGATGGAAAGAGAGTATAAGAAAGAGGATTTCAGCGGAAGAATAGGGACAAAATACCACGCAATAAATAATGGTATATTAAAATTCACATACTGCTGAAACCAAACAAAAATGGTCCCAGTTTAGTGACGGATACATGGGGAAAAAAAAAAAGTTTTAGCACAATTTCTAGTGCAATTAGAATCACACATGGTCCTTTAAAACACACATGGGCACACGTGTACATGCACACCTAGGCTTCACCACTCACAGATTCTAAATGAGCAAGTTTGGGCTGAGCCCTGGCAACTTTTATTTTTTGAAAGCTCCATAGGCAATTATGGAATCTGAAAGCATCATAGCTCAGCTTAGGTTGAGAATTATTAGAATATAATTGTTTAAAACATAAAATAAGCCCAAACGATCAAGCTCCTCTAAGAAACTCAGCAGCAAATTCACCATTTTTAGAAGTTTTAAAAAGGACAAGTGGTACTAGCAGTAGCAGGGGCTGCATGCTGCATGGGGGTGATGAAATAGTATTTTCCAACCTATAATACGTGGAACAATTCATTGGAGATACAAAGATGACTAAGACAGGCTGTTGTTACTCTAAAGTACTCACAGTTAATCTACAAACTTGCTTCAATATTCAAGAAAACACTTATCCTCCACTTTCTTATCTGAATGAATTTAAGTTTCCTACCAAAGATTGAGCAACTTAAGGGGTCAGATAAAATATCACATGATAGAAATTATCTCTACTTGAATATATATAATTGCTGATTTCAGAAAAAGATACTCAAGTAAGCTAGATTTAAAACTAATGTTTTTACTGACAATTCTAAATAAGGAGGTTGCATTAACTTATGTTTAAGGGAGGTTGAAAGAGACAGATATTAAGAATAGGATTCAAATTTCTCTTTAAGTCTCGGACTTGTGGTAATTTAGACTTTGATATAAAATACGACTAACAACATCGTATTAGAGAAATGAAGAGAATTCTACTGGTCCAAGAAGTCGGATTTACTACATTAGACCATTAATCTCTTATTAAAATGTTACGAATTTTTATTTGCAGAAATTTTAAGGAGAAAGTAAGCATCACCACAGGTTAAAACAGTAACTGAAAAAAACATGTTATAAATGTTAAGAAAACCAACCAACCAGAGATGACTATTCTGAACATCTGATAACTCTATCAAATTTTGAGTTATACCATAATAAAACTGAAATTCAAAATGTCTGAATACTTGCAAAGGTTCTTGAAATATTTTTTAGGGCAACATTTAAAAGATGAAATAATAATGCTGATACCCATTTCTGCAGTGAAATCAAATGTATACCGTTAAGCCCAGCAAGAAAACTGATCCCACCTTCAGAATTATTACCTTGTGTGTAGGCAGCATCATCAGATCCCATGCTTAGCTTCCGTGCTTCACTTATTCTATCCACATGTGCTAAAGTAGGGTCCGTGAGGTGTTGAATATTCTCTGTTTCTACATAATGATCAGGATGAGTTAGAAGATTTGTGAGTTCAAAGGTAGGGGACACGACTCCTGGTGAAACTGCAGGGGGTTTATTGGGAGAAACTGTAATTTTGAAAGTGTACTTTGTATTGGGCTGAGTAACCACCACTCGAGGAGACGTTGCAGAGTTATTGCCCACTGCTCGACTTTTGGGAGGGTGGTGATGAATAAAGGCAGGACCCATGCTCACTTGCCCAGACATATTTCTGGAAGCGGCAGATGCTCCAGAGTTTGTGGATATGAAGAGGGTGGGCTGATTCCGGATGACCTGCTCATCTCCTGTGGTGGCATTAGCTGAAATATAGACCTTGGGCTGACTACGGGACATCACCTCATCGGTATTTGGGGGACTGGCAGCTATGTAAACAGTGGGCTGATTTCTATTTAAGGTCTGGCTGTTGACCGAAGAGGAACTGCTGGAGGTTCGAGGTCCAGAAGAACGCAATTTTGAAGAACTGTTTCTTTGCGGAGGTTCAAGTTTGATTTCAATCTGGTTTTTTCGAGGTCCTGTTGAAATATTCTGAATGTTATATTGGCTATGGGCAGACGACTGTGAGCTACCAGATGAATGAATTGTTGGTGGTTGTGGAGTAGTAGGTGAACTGATGGGCATGTAGACATGAGAGGTCTGGTGGCCTTGCTGATTTGGCTGCTGGGCTGAGGTATGTGACAGAGGATTAGATGCAGGATAAGTAGTCCAGGGACCAGGTTGGGAAGGTTGATAGACTTGCTGAGAGTTCATGGGATTAAACTGAGATACCCAGCCAGAATGCTGTTGTGTCTGTCGAGTTGTACCACTAGGAGTTGTAATGTAAGGCCTAATATAGATAGAATTTCCCTGTGGACTGTTAAGTACAGGTGGAGGTACACCATGTATGTGCAAAGATGTGGGAGTATTACGACCAGTTTGAATATTTGGGGCTAAAGTTACCATAATGGGATTAAATCTGGGAGTTTGAGAAAGGTTGGATGTTCCTTTGCTGCCTAAGTGAAATCCAAGATGTGGTGCTGAATTTGAAGGACCAGATGTACTGGATATTCCAAAAACATTAAAGCCTTGAGGAACTTGAGCTGGTGCTGTCTGTGGCTCTTGCTGAAACAGTTCATTATTGGACTGACCACCTTGAAGTTGTCCATCACTAATGCTGTGCGTTAGAGTCCTACTTCCATTCATTCTATTTCCTTCTCTTCCATGGTGGTAAACATTCTGTGACTGTAAGTCCAAGTTGAGAGAAGTCATGTGATTGCGTAGACCAGAAATTCCAGAATCATCCGAAAAATTCAAGTCTCCTTCACCATAAAGATATCTTGTACTCTCCTGAGAGAGAACGGCACAGCAGGCATCCAGGTTATTATTATTCTATAAGACAAAATAAAAACAGCTTGATGTTAACAACCAGAAGCTAATGCTTATAATCTCATCACTACTAAAATATTACATGATTAGCAAATGATTAGTTAATATAATTATAACAGGTATAGCTAGCTGAACCTTCCTATTTGAGAAAAACTAGCTTTTATGTAAATGGTTGAATTAACAATCCTCATTACTAATATAATGGAAAAGTAACTAGCAATAAATAGCTAAGTGAACCAAGTCGCTGCTCTGTTTTAGGAGCTATTTTATAGTAAAATGAATTATGCAAATAGAGTAAAATTACACCCTAATTAAAAATGCAATTTGAACGATGAACAATCAACTTAAGCATATAATACTGTATGATTAAGTATTTTGCACATTCAAGGGCTATATAAATTCTTTTTAAAAATTACATTTGTAGTATTTAAAGAAGTTCTAAAATCTGTAACAGTCATCTGAATTCCTTACGTTTCCTCCTAATGTGTGTAAAAAAATAAAATAAAAAATAAAACCATACATTTATAAATGAAATATAAGCTCAAGGTAGCCTCCAGAGTAACTGAGTTCACATCTGTCTTTAGATAGCACCGTACAAAAATCTACTCCAGAGAAATGAAAAACATAAAAACAAAACAAAAAACCCAGATTGTTTCTAAAGAATCTTCTAAAGAGACTAACCACTATTCCTAAGTCATCCATAAAAAATATTTACTGAACACCAACAATATGTACAGCACTGTTTGAGATTGGAGAAGACTCAATGACATATAAAACAAAACTTTTTCCTAGAAGAACTTGCAACTTAATTAGGGAGATAAACCAGGGGTTTTTGAAAAGGTAACATTATTAAAATGTTTGCCAAATAATAAGTGATATTGAAGTTTAACAGAGAGTAAATATTGTACACTTTTGTAGAAAGGAGAAAAGACTCTCAGTGAGGAAGGTATGGCCTGATGGGTTTCAGAGGATAAGGAGGACTTGGATAGAAAAAACAATTCTTGAAGAAAATGGCATTAGTAAAGAAAGACATAATGCGATAGTTAAGTAAAAGCATGTTCTAAACAAGGTGATTGTTAAACAGATTTGGCTGGAGTTAAAGGTTTGTACTGGGAATTTTGTAGAATAAGTTGTTAGAAAAGTAGACTGGTTTAAATAATTGAGGACTTTGAAATATGAGTCACACTGGAGTTTGGACTTCAATATAGGCAAAGTGAGGACACAAAGGGTGTTCTAGAAAAACAAGACTAGTGATACTTAAAATGAAAAGGAAAAGGTAAACTTTTTGACACGGCCAGTTAAAGATATGACATAATGACTGTTTGATAGTAGTAACAAATTATGAAAGACTACAAATAAATATTGACATAATTTGGCTACAAGAGAGAAAGAGAATTCAAAGTAAACTTGAGAGTCAGGAGCCTGACAGAAAGAGGAGAGACATAAAAAAGATGAGTAACACCAAAATAAAATGTCTACAAGTATTGGATACGAAAAAGGTTAGTAAGCAAGGTTTGATTTTTCCCACCCCAAACCAACAGTTCAAATCTCTCAAGCCACAAAAATCCTTTTATACTACTCCTAATTCTGAATTGATATAGTTTTTCAAATATAATTTAAAAATGCATCATAATCTTTATCAACTGATTACTCCTTATTATAGTTAGACATTATCTTTAGCTAAACCTAATTGGTGCTTTTTGCTTCAAACTAAATTTATTGCTATTCCTAGTAAATTCTTCTCTCTTCTAAGCCAAAGCTCACAAAGATCCCATTTTCTTATCTCTCTACCAACATTTCAAATTAAAATGTACATTTCTTACCAAATTCAATCCCACACTTCCTTTTTAAAAGCTGGTACTCATATTTACAAAGTTTTCCTCTCTAATTCTCTTGAACTCTCATAAAATCCCTTTAATCCTTCATAATCTGATTATTTAATATGTTCTAGCCCCAGATATATCATAACTCACAGGCCTTTAGACTATTTACCCTATACGGACATCACTTTCTCATCAGCAAAACATAAAAGAACTTAGAAGGATTTAATAAGGCTACAAATAGGATAAAAGGAAACATATTTTTTATTTTAGGAAAATTTGAATATATTTAAAAAGAGAGTAAGTATGATAAATTCCCCTATATTCATCATCTATCTTTAACAATATCGATAGGGCAAATCTATTTTTGCCCCAGCTACTCTTCCCACCAAGCTAGATCAAGTCTTAGATATTATTTTGTTCTCATCTGGAAATACATTAAAATGTATCTTTAAAAAACAGGAACTTAAAAAAAAAAACATAACCATAATGCCATTATCATACTTTAAAATAATCAAAAATATCACCTAACACTCAAATACTGTTAAAGTCCCCTGATTGTCTCATAAATGTCTTTTTAGTTAGGTTAAATCAGAACTTAAGCAAGGTCCAATTATTGGGTTGATATGCCTCTTAGGTTTCTTTTTAAAAAAATTTTAGCCATTTGTTGTAAAATATGACCATTTGTCCAGCAGAATTTCCCATCTGGATTGGCTGACTGCACTCTGTGGTATCAATTCCCCTGTATTTCACTGTAAACTAGCAGTTTTAACTATAGGTGTGAGCAGGTTCATGCATGAATTTTTGGCAGGATCCTTAATAGGGTCTATTTCTTATTGCACCACACAAGGAGGCACAAAAATGTCTGCCTGTCTTTTGTGATCTTGAAGCGGGATCAGTGGATTCTGATGTCAGCCTAATTCAGCTAATGATTTTTAGCAGCCACTAATAATCACTGCTTAGAAACTTTATTTCATCAAGGGCTGTAAAATGTGATACTGGTGATATTCTGATTATGAGATTCCTTCTTCATGCATTAGCTGTAGTTCTCCTCAAAGAACTTGCTCTCTTCAACTACTTGGTTATTCTTTGCACAGAAGAGGCAGGATAAATAAATTCCTTCTCTTTACTGTTTTTAGAGTAATGAAATGGTACCCTAGCAACCTCCAAAGGTGACTAGATTTTTTTTTTTTGTCTCACTGTAAATTCCTGTATCTTTAACATTTTGATGTGGCAACTGATTGTGGTCATTACATCCTATCTTTAGGCTGATGGAAATGACTTCAAGTGGGCTCCTATGTATATGATATGAATCCAGTCTTTCATTACCGCCTTGCTTTCTGATATGACAAGATGTTAAGATAGTCATATATACTTCCTACCCTAGACCTGGAATCAGCTATTTCTCAAAAAAGCTCTGGTTACTTTTATTGGGAAACTGTAGAGGACTCGTTTTAAGTGTATCAAAATGGGTGAGATGAGTTTTTAAAAGGTTGAGAATCATTGTTTTTTTGTATATATACAAATCTGCATTCTCTTCTAAGCTACAAAATCTGAATGAGTCCAGTTTCTCTAAGCTTCTTGTACAGACACGGAGATTACAGATAGTATCAAAGTATACACTAAAAGCATCCTTCTCAAACTGATTCATTCACTCTTTCAACCAGTATCTACTTAGCACCCATTAGGGAAATAGAAAGGAATATAATCACTGCTCTTAAGGATCTTACGGTCCATTGGAAGAGATTAATATATACATAAATATAACAGAAAATAGTAGGTGTTTTGATAGAAATATGGATAAGAACTACAGGTAGAGGTCATCTGAGGATATGACACTTTAATATTAAGTCTTACAAATGCTGACTGAATACTACTTAATGAATTACTTTGAAAAGAAATAGCAATTTTAAACTTAAGGATTCAACCGCATTAAGAGAATTAAAGAATGGTGAAAAGTTGTTTTAAAAAAATCAAAGTACCAACTATGCAATATTCTAAGGTTTAATCAACAAAAATTAATAAATTTTAAAGATATGAACTGCACCTGCTGATAACATAGCTGTCTTGGAGAATCCACAGTACAAGGAAATGATGTGAGTAGCTCCAGAAACACAGATCTGAGCAGTAAATAAAGTCCAGAGAACAGAAGATCTATTCTTCTGCTCTCCTAAGATGCAAGATGTTTAAGAACATGGATACAAAGTGGCAGTGGGGCATGATCTTTTAACTGCTAATTTTTTATTTTGTATACTATTTTTTTTTAATCTAGAAAAGTTTTAAACCAGTATATTATAAGGAGAATCTCTCCAGAGAAAGGACAGACACCTACCCAACTGAGAAAAGGAGAGCTGCTTCCAAAAGAAAGGCTGCCACCAAGTAAGAGATGTTTATATTACATTTAGAGGTATCTTAATTTACTTTTACAGTTTAAAAATATTTCGCCAAATTTGGGAAGACTTACACCTTAGCTGTATCCCCAAAAGAGCCCTCTCATTTCTTTCTTGTCACATTTCTTGTTCTATCAGTTAAAAGTACATTACTTGGATGCCCAGCATAATTATTAACACAACAGAAAAGAGTGTGGTCTTCCTCACGGGTAATATGCAAGCAAAACTGACTTCATTTTAGTAATCTCTAGGCATTGGGAAGCATGCTGTAGGGAGGTTTGTTTTTGTAAAACCAGATTAACATAGTGAAGCTGATACTACTGAGTGACCAAAGGAAATTCAAAATCATTTATTTTCTAGTAAAGCTGAAAACATACTTTTTAATTTTTAAAAATAGGCAATTCATTTACACAGATCGAAACATTACAAAAAGACGTATATTGAGAAGTCTCACTTCTATCTCTATCCCCATCTGGCTTGTTCCCTCTTGCCCACTATTGGTAACCATCTTTTTATTAATTTTTTTAGTCCTTCCAGTATTTATGTCAACACAGGCAAACATACATATGCGTGCATATTTATTTCCTCTGCTCTCATCCATGTATACTGGTCTGTTCTGTTTTCTTAATACATCCTCCTGAAGATCATACTGAGTGCACACAGAGTTCTTTATTTTTTTGAAAATATTTTAAATAATTCTACAAAAGGGTCTATGTTTTACTCCCAGTTAAGGTAACTATAGGGTATCAGAAAGTGTTTCAGACAGTTCCTTTAATATTAAGTCTTGTAAATTTTATTAAAGAACTTATAGTATTTTTCTATTTTTCTATGAATCACTGAATACTCTGTGTTTATTTTATCACAAAATTCTATTGGAACAGTTAGGAAGAGATACCTATGTTCTAGGGAAGATGCCGTCCCCTACAACCTCTGCTCCTCTCCATATTTCCTTTAACTTGACTCTGTTTTTATTACTTCCCACCCCTTTAATTTGTTCCTTTCACATCCTATATTGACAAATGTGAATTACTGATTCATTCACCAAATATTTATTATGGGTCTTCTACTATTATTACTGTTATTAGTACTGGCTGCTAATACTTACTGAGGATGCATTATACATCAGGTATCCTATTAGAAGTTTTACCTGCATTATCATATTTGATTCTCTATGAAGTTTTTTTTTATTAACATTGTAGAGAGGTTACTACTGTTAGTAACTGTAAAAACTTGAACTCAAGTCTGTTTATCGCATGTTATCGCCAAAACATATGCTATTATTGTTTTAAATTTTTATTTTTATTTCCTCCCAGCTTTACTGAGATATGACTAATAAAAAGTTATATATTTAAGTTGTACCTGATTTTTTTAGATGTACAATGTGAGAATTTAATATATGTATACATTGTGAAATTACCACAATCAAGTTAATTAACACATGCACCACCTTAGAGTCAACTTTTTTTTAGTAGAACACTTAAGTTCTACTCTTTTAGCAAATTTCAAGTATACAATACAGTATTGTATCCTCAAAACTCAAGCTATTAAACACTCTCTAAAGAGCCAGGCATGTTCAGAGAATTCTAATCAGCTGAGGATGACTACAGCATAGGGTGTGAGGAAGGACTAGGTAAGAGATCAGGCTGCAAAAGAAAGGATTCCAGATCACAGACCTAGTATTCCTTAGTTGAGATATATAAACTTTATTCTGAAGGTATAGGGAACAATAACGAGGTTTAAGCAGGCAAATATATGATAAAATTGGCATTTAGAAAGATAATCTAGCAGAAATGAGAAGGATGGATGGGAGAGACTAAAGCTAGGTTCAGTAAGGGCAAGTACACACCAATTAAATGGACAGATAAAAGGTGATAAATGTGTGAACAAAATGTAGTCACTTGATATCAAGTATACATATAGGGTCTTTAAAAATTTCATACAATTTAAAACTTTAAAAATAATTTGTCAAGAGTAAATATGTCTTAGCCCAAATTATTTTTATACGTCTATTTTAACAAGCTGAAAAATCTTCTGATAGAAAGATTTCCAGTTTAATCAAATGAGAAGGCACAACTATTACTAAACATTTAGAATTACAAATTTCTAAAACTGTACATAGTAAGAAAAAATAAAAATTTATTAGATGTTTAGTGATATTAGCTGGAAAATTTACAGATTAAATTAAAAATTATAAAATAAAAAATGTTTATCTTTAGAATTGGGACCTTAGGCATTGTGTAGTCAGTTTCCTTTATTTTACAGGTAAAAATTAACTCAAGCACAAAGAAGGCATAGTACCTGCCAAATATGCTTGGGATGCCCATTTAGGATTAGAACCCGAGTCCTGACTCCTAGTTAATGATTTTCTCACTTTCAAAGACTTGGCATTCTAGCAAAATAGGAGGGAGAAAAGTAAAGTAACCTCATATAAGTATAAACCGTGTATCAGTGTTTTATATTGGGATCTCATATAATCCTTATATCTACATTACAAGGTAGGTATTGGGGTATAGACCCTAAGCAACTTGTTAAAGGCCATATGACTATTAGACATCAAAGCTCATCTCTTTTCATCATTGCACATTAATGCCGACAAAATTATAAAAGTTTCCCTCCGTTTAAAAAAATACCAGGTTTGTATCAATAAATTCAGAAATCATTGAACACTGACCTGTAACATGCACCTGGATACAACAACTTCAGGTACTTCAGGGAATTTTTGTCGCAGGTCATGTAAAACCTGAAAATCAATTTGGTGGCTTCCTTGGGCCATTCGTATATTGCCTGATCAGGACTATGTGTAAAGTAGGCAATTCTAGGCCTTAGTGGAAATAGTACTCATCTCTTCTGTCCAAGCATTTTCTGTGAAAGAAAGAAAAACAATTTTAATGAGAACTGATTATAGAATGAATATTATTGTGGATTTAAAATTTCAATACAAAAGGGTATGTGCTTTAGTACCTAACATTTAATATAACCTATAAAAATATTTAGTTCTATAATGCTTTCCATATAGTTATACTATCTTTTCAGGTTACAATTCCCCATGGCAAACTTTAAATTGTCTAATTCCTAGATATTTGCATGCTTTATAATGGCTGTACCAAAAAGCATTCAAATAAGAAATTATTGTCAAGGTGGTCTTCCTTCATTCTTTTAAAAGGGGAAAATAATTTAACTATCTACCTTATTTTTATTCCTTATATTCCTAATGTAAATCATGTTCAATCTTGAAAGCCTCTTTGGAATAAAAATCGTATATAAGTACATTAAACTTGAACGGTATATTAAAATATTTAAAATAATAGCATTTGCTTACTGATTAAAATACATTTCATTCTAGGATAAAATTAGCAATAAGACAATCTCTTTATAACAAATTTATCTGTAGTATTTCTCTTTTAACCTCATTAACCTAAGCTTCAAAAAAATGTCTGTAAACTCCATGAATATAGGAATTAGGTCTCTTTCGTCCATTATTGTGTAGAAAGTTTTCAGCATGACATTAGATATTAAAATGTTTATGAATAAATTCAGTTACGACAGAACTCCTGAGTCCTCAACAGAAAAAAAAAAAACTCATTCAAGTACCCACTGGCAGCTCCTTCTCAGTTTTCTTTGTCAGATCTTCTTCCTTTTCTGGACGTCTAAATGTTGGTGGGCTAAGGAGTTCAAATCTAGAGTTTCTTTTCAACTATATCTACATTCCTCTTCAAGGTAATTTCATCCAAACACACTGCTTAAACAGAGGCTTTGCAAATTTATATCTCCAACTCCAAGGGAGCTCTCTTCCCTGAGTTCCAGACTAATAGAGACAGCTGCCTGACATATCCTTCTGGATATCTAAAATTCTTTGTATGTCCAAAATCAAACTCTTAATTTCTGCCCATCCAAACCAACCCTTTCCCAGTCTTCTTCATCTCAGCAAACGGTACCATGATTCACCCAGTTGCTCCTTCTCTGACATTCCTTGATCCATCATCAAGTCTTGTTGAGTGTCTCTACAAAAATATATTCTGAATCT